TGGCGGCTCCCCGCTTATGCAAATGAAGCCCGGGAAATTCAAATCCCGGGCTTCATTTGCAAGTGCGGTATGTCTACACTACCCTCCTAGTTCGAACTAGGAGGGTAGTGTAGACATACCCTGGGAGAGTGAGGAAAATCCAGGATTAATAAAGGTCTTAGCATTAATTTGGGATGGACGTGTTACTCTCAAGTCTAGCCCTACAAGATCTTGAGCCTTAAAACTCTCATTCAGAACAGAATATTTCCTGTGCTACACATCAGATTAGTCTAGAGAGAGTTCAACAGTTGTGTATATGTGGATACAAGGACATATTTTTCTGACAGTATGCCTGAAAAAGTAGTGTCTGTTTTTAGCTGCTTGAAGATTTGTTAGCAGTGGTCCTGGAAAAGATAAATTAGCACACATCTGAAGTAGTCAGGCCTTTTTTGTGTGTGTGTGTGAAGGAACCACATAGTCATAAGAGTTCACATAATCATGCATATTAACTATATGCAAAATCTAATTCCATACACACAATGCATCTTTAGTAAGGCTTTGATAGTTTCTGTAACATGGAAAAAAGTCAGGGCCTCTTAACGACTCATTATTTAATGGGACATTACCCAATTCCTATGCTGTACATACAGAATCCACGTATTACTTTATGCATCATGTGGAATGCAGTTTGTCACAATGCTATCACCATTACATATATAGTATCTGTATAACTTGAGTTACTCTCTGCCTCAGTTGCCCAGCTGTAAAATGTGAGTGATAGTACTTCCCAACTTCAGAGGAAAGATACAATAAAAATGTGAGCTGCTTATACAGGTTATACCTCTCTAGTTCAGCACCCTCCGAACCTGACTGGTGTTGAACTAGGGATGTTAAATATTGATTAATTGAATAGTCGAGTAACCTCATTAATTCTTATCAGTTACACGATTATTCTGTAGTCCCTGAGGGCAGGGCCAGCAGCCAGTGCGCTTGGGCTCCACTCCCAAGGAGCCCCCTGCCACTCTGTACTGCTACCTCTGTACCAGCTCCCTTCGTGGACGGGCTGCCTGTCACCCTGTGCTGCTGCCTCTGATAAAGGGGCAGCAGTGCGGGGTGGCAGGAGCCCCTGTTTAGGCAGGGATCTGAGCTCCCAGACCCAGCATGAGCCACAACTGAGCCACGCTGCCTGCCCACCTGGTTCCTAATAAACTTTAAATACAGGGCCGCAGCGGAGTTAGGTCCTGAACCCGTTGCAGGTCAGTACTGAGCCAGGCTGCTGGCCAGCCTGCTAAAAAATTTACAGTGGGAAGGAGAGGGTGGGAAATGCATGTAGTCTGTAGCATTAACCTATAAGCTTTTGCTTATCAGTTAATTGACTACACTATTACATCCCTATGTAGAACCAGGGAATTTGCTGAACTATAGTAGGTCAATATTGCCTAGCAGTATTACCAAACAATTCTACTGCTTACTGGGCTTTTAGACATTTAGGCGTAAATTAGAGCTAAGTAACAGCACAGAACACTGAGAGCCAGGAATGGTGGCTGTAAACAAACTTCGTGACCACAAGAAACTTGGCCACTCCCAGATAAGTGTGCATCTGGCTAACTAAAATCATGCCAGACCATGGATGTTGCTGGACCAGAGTGTGCTGGACTAGAGAGGTTCAACCTGTACTACAGTAATAAGGTACTCACATGTCCCTAAACAGATGTATTTTTACACTATTTCATTTTTAAATTATCAAACAATAACCTTTTGTCTGTAACTAGCAGGGATATGGAACATTAAATTTTAATTCTGCATTTTAAAAATGCTTTATAACAGTCATTCATCAGAGAATGCATTTAGGAACAAGTTATGATCTGACAGTGGAGGAATGGTAGTTAAAATATGCACTGGCCACAGTTTGCTGGCCTTTGATGATTTAAAAAAGAAAATAGTACAGATGTGAGAAGACTAGCTTACTAAAGGGTAACAAGTTGAAGGAAAATTTATCCTGCAGTCTCCTACATAGATCAAACATTTCCTTGGGCGGGGGAAGGGAGGGAGAAGTAGGGGGAGGGAAGCCATTCTGACAAGATGCCCAATTTTTAAAAAAAACAAACAAACCTAATAGCCTTCTAGAATCACTGGACATAACGGTCATATCTGTCTTAACAGAATGGATGTGTCCAAGGTATTAATGGTCTAGAGTATTGTATGGTTGTAGTGACAAATCATAGTACCATTTGAAAAACTCTGGCAGCATAGAAGTGTTTGATGCTGTTACAGTACTTGCATGCTTTATATCACTGGAAATGGCCTCTACAGAGGGGAGGGAGAAATGTTTGCAGCCTCTTAATTGGACACAGGACTGTCTTCACACTGCCTTGTAGTTAGTTCAAAAGGAATCTGAACTGCTACTATTCTGATTTGGTATTGTTTCACATCCACTTTGGGCCGATATAGGTGACTTTGCAAGGTGTAAGGCAGGGGTGGAGACCTCTTCTTGGGTTAGGGGCCACTGACTCACAGGGGAAAAAAATCAGTCGGGGGCCGCACACATGTGTCAGGGGAAAAAATCAGTCGGGGGCCGCACACATGTGAGAAGCAAATCCTGTCACTGACATGGTCCCTAACTGAGAAGGAGAAAGACACACCCCACATTCTGCCCATAGTGGGGCAGCAGGCTCCCCAGTGCTGTGGTGGAGTCCTGAGCCCTAGGGCCTGAGGTTCCCCACCCTGGTATAAGGCATCAAGAAATCAGCTCTATAAAGTTAGTTTAGCTGGATGATGTTGGTCAACAATTTGGCACTCCAACTGAGTCCATCACAATTGTAGAATCACCTGCTTTATTTGTTTTACCAGTTGTTTGCATGAATTAGAAGTAGTGCAGTGTCTCCTCTTAATTGTGAAGCTTGAAATGCTTGTGAAACCTGCTTTGGTTTCTGCATGTTGTAGAAGGAGTGCTGTCCAAATTGCTAGAGCAGGAGGGGAACCTTTTTATGCTTAGGAGCCATTGGCCGACAGAAAAATCACTCACTGACCTGGCTCCCAATGAGAAGCACAACCCCCTCCCCCCCAAATCCTGTCTAGAAGGAGAGCACTGAGGCTCAGGGTGGCGGGAGCTGGCACTCATGCTACATACTTGCAGCAGGGTGGGGGTTCCAGCCTGCACCATAGAGACTTGCTGCAGATGGATCAAACTAAGTGGAGGGCCAGATTCATCACCCCTGTCCTAGAGGCTCAATGAACCTCACCAATCTTCCTTAAGTAACACTAATCTAGAAATGTTGCTTTTCTTTAATCAATTGCAAATAACTATCCAGTCCCCAAGGTGCCTCAAATATTCGCATATCACAAGCTTGCGCTTGAAAGCTTTTAACTTCCAGAACTCTTTCAAACTTGTTTGATGTTTTATGTTCAAAATAATGTTTTAAAAACATTTTTTATCTTGTTCTTTCAGACACTGGCATAGACCATCAAGCTCTCCTTAAACAGTTTGAACATCTCAACCACCACAATCCTGACACGTTTGAATCAAAAGATTTAGATATGTTGATCAAAGCAGTAAGTGTTACATATATAATATTGTAGATGTTCACTTGCTATGATTGACCGTGTATTTCTCTGAAGTGAAAGCAAATCCTTTTACTTTATCTATGCCAATCTTATGTAAATATAACCAGATCTTAATTTTTAAGGAACTTGGGTCCATTGTACATTGGAAAACTTCTATACCATTGGCAGGTGTTTGCCACAAAAGCTGTTAATTTTTCAGGTAGCATCCTCTAAACAGTCTCATTCTTGTGTGAAAGTGAGCAGCTGTGGGAACAGAACATGACTTGTCAAGGGCATATAAATTCAGTGAAGTTTTGACAGAGGCACATTATGCCTGTAGACTATTTTAAACTGTATTTTATACCTAAATGACTTTAAGCTTGTCACATGATGACTTTTTAAAGTGAGATAACAATTGCCCTTCTCAAAATGGCCATATAGATTTTTGGACCTGCCTTATGTATGGCTAGGGTGACCATCCATTCCATTTTTATCAGGACTGTCCCTTATTTAAGACTTCTTCACGGCATCCCGACTTTAAAAAAAAAAAAAAAAATTTTATACCTAAATGACTTTAAGCTTGTCACATGATGACTTTTTAAAGTGAGATAACAATTGCCCTTCTCAAAATGGCCATATAGATTTTTGGACCTGCCTTATGTATGGCTAGGGTGACCATCCATTCCATTTTTATCAGGACTGTCCCTTATTTAAGACTTCTTCACGGCATCCCGACTTTAAAAAAAAAAAAAAAAGAAAAAAAGGCCAGGGCTGCCCTCCCCACCCTGCATGCTGCGGGGATGAACTACATCCCTGCAGCGGGTCAGAGTGGGTGTGGAGACACCAGCACACGGAGCTTCAGCTGCTGGGGCCCCAAGTGCTGGCAGCTCCCTCCTGCAGCACTGAAGCCCTGAGTGCCAGCATCTCCCCTTACCCCCGCCCCCTGCAGGGCTGAAGCTCCGAGCGCCAGCAGTTGCACGCCCCCACCATTGTGGGGCTGAAGCCTTGAGCGCTGGTGGCTTCCCACCTCACCTTCCTGCTGCAGGACTGAAGCCCTGAGTGCTTGTGGCTTCTGCCTCCCCCCCAGGGCTGAAGCCCCGAGCACCAGCAGCAGCACCTCCTCCCCTTTGGGAGCTCTGCAACTCCTTCCCCCTCCTCCCCCCCAGCCCGGTATCCCGTATTCATCATAGGGAAATATGGGCACCCTATGTATGGCAAGTTGCAATGCCACACCACCACTCAATTTCAGATATCAATATTAAAAGTTGCTTAATGGGCACTTACTGAACAATAGGTATGGTAGAAATTAAGTAAATATCAATCTCATATGTGGTTCTTGCTCAGCTGACACATCAGTGAGCTGCAGTTTGGCTTTTTTCCAACAGTGAAAAATTGGGTATAGATGGCAATTTCTTCTTAATTGCTTTGATAAACATGGGACATTTTGGAAATGAATTCTAAATAACTGGAAAGGTAGCATCATAATATGAATATCCTTTAGGGGACAGCATGAGACTGCCAAACTTCCTTTAATACCATTAAATACATTAACATAAAACCCTGAAAACTAACCAGCTGCAAACTGTTTTCAAGCATAAGCAAGTCTACATTAACTACTAGCCCCCATAAAGGTATATCTAGACTAGCATGTGGTCTTGTTTTAACTCAAGTTAATTAGCAATTAGCTCACATTAATTCACGTATCTTTAAATTCTAGGTCATCTAATCTAGTCCCTTGCACTCATCACAGGACTAGTACTACCTAAACCATTCCTGACACATCACTTTATATATTTGTTCATTAAACAGCAAGGTAAACCATAAACATTTGTATCCTGGAATAAACACCAGCAGTGATAACACTAGCATTTGCTATTTTAAGTGGATCATAATAAAGCACTCATTCTGGAGTAAATGTCCAACATGAAGCTAAATAGGTATTAGGAAATAATTCTGAATATAGATGAGCCTCAACATAAACCTCCAAATATTATCCATTTTCACTCATAGTATTTAAAGTGAGCTATAGTTACAGATTAAGAGTTAGATTGCAGAGTTGCCATAAACCCTGGGTAATGGACAATCTGACCTTAAAGTCTAAGACTTTCCAGAAGGAACCATTATGACCATCTAGTCTGACCACCTGCACATCACAGGCCACAGAACCTGACCCACCCACTTCTGCAGTAGGCCTATAATCTCTGGCTGAGTTACTGAAGTCCTTAAATCTTGATATAAAGACTTCAAGTTACAGGAAATCCACTACTTACTCTAGATCATACCAGCAAGTGACCCCTCCCCCATGCTACAGAGGAGGGCCAATCTGACCTGGGGGGAATGCTTTCCCATCCCTAAATATGGCAATCATTTAGACCCTGAGCATGTGGGCAAGATCTACCAACCAGACACCTGGGAAAGGACTATCTGTAATAACTCAGAGCCCTCCCCATCTAGTGCCTCATTTTCAGCCATTGGAGTTACTTGCTATTGGCAATTGTTGATAGGCCATCTGCCATTATAAGCAGTCTCATCATACCATCTCCATAAATGTATCAAGCTCAGCCTAGAAACAAGTTAGGTCTTTGCCCCTCATTACTTCTTTTAGAAAGCTGTTCCAGCACTTCATTCTTCTGATGGTTAGAAAGCTCTGTCTCATTTCAAGCCTATACTTGCCAATGGCTAGTTTATATCCATTTGTTCTTGTATCAACATTGGCCCTTAGGTTAAAATAATTAATCTCCTTCCCATGTGTTATATCCTGTGCCCCCCTACCACCACTTAGCTCCTGAGAGGAAGTGCACTGTGCTGACCTTAAGCTGGATGCATCTTCACAGGGAGAATGGAGTCAAAACTATGCCAATTCTCCAGTCTTTGCTCATCTGTTGGGATGGAGAGTAATGGCCCAGTGTAAAGGCCTATACAGAAGAGCAAAGATGCCTTACTACCCCCTCTTACCAATGCATGGGTGAAGAATGCAATTCAGTGGATTCCAAGAACATTACATCGAAGACACGGATTGGTTTTGCTGAACAGGTGTGGGGGGAGGAGGAAACAGATATTACACGGCATTTTGTTGAAAGAGGATGCCCAATTAGTTTACTTTGTGTTTGGTAAAGCAATGGAAATATGGCCAGGCATTCACACTTTAAAGCAATACAGTCTTCTTAACATAAGCATGTTTTTACTTGCAGGCTACAAGTGACCTGGAAAACTATGACAAGACACGCCATGATGAATTTAAGAAATATGAGATGATGAAGGAACATGAAAGGAGAGAATATTTAAGAACACTGGATGAGGAGAAGAGACATGAGGAGGAAGCCAAATATGAGGAAATGAAGAAAAAGCATGGCGATCACCCCAAAGTGAATCATCCTGTAAGGATGCAGTATTGACACATTTCTTACTCTGCAAGAGAAACCACAGAGCAAAGGCTTAAAATAGGCCTGGATAACACCTTGTTCATTCACAAATGATCAGCATTAAAATGGGGAATAGAGACTAATACTCTGAGGATAGGATTTTTAAAAAAATCGTAAACTCTGCTTCTCATTGAAATCAGTGAGGCTTTTATCACCATGTTCAATGGAAGCAAAGAAAACCTATGCTGAGCACTTTAGAAAAATCCCACTCTACTGCCTGTAATCTTTGCTGTGTTTGGTACACAGTTATGTGATATACTGGCAAAATGCTAGCACATAAAACAGATTATTCAGGATTAACTTTGCCCCGCTCATGCTTACCCTGCAAATCCCCATATTACAGCTCCCTTCCCTCTGGGCAAGAAGATTGAAATTCACTTGTTCAGAACTTGTATTTAGAGTGATTCCAGGTGTTCCTTTTCCCCAGAGGCTGAGCATGCCACTCCATGGCACTCTCAACCCCCCTGTCTTGTGACAATGTAGAACCTGACTTAGACCACACTGAAAACAACAGAAAGAGACTGCCATTGATTTCTGTGGCGTTTGGATCAGACCTATAAAACAGGGCCATTTTGAAGGTTTTTGAAAAGCCTTTTTGAGCAACTTTAACTCCAAATTAGTGCAATAAAATGACATACCCTTACTTTGAATGATTTCTATTTGTAACCAATCTACAGGGAAGCAAAGACCAACTGAAAGAGGTGTGGGAGGAGTCGGATGGGCTGGATCCTAATGACTTTGATCCAAAGACGTTTTTCAAGTTACATGGTAAGAGATTAGATTTAGTTTAAAAGATACAAGTCAAGTGATTCTCAATAGAAGATAACTCTTTCCAAGCAAAAGGATCATTCAAGAAAGAGTCTGGTCACACAAGCTATTTGGATGAAACCCAAAGGACAGAAGAGCGAATCAGCAGTCTTTTCCAGTTCAAACTGTTCATGCAAGAGCGATTAGCACCACAATGAGTACATGTATTATTGAACTGCTGCACACTCAAATGGAACAATATAAACATTCACTTGATCTTGAAAAAATCTCAAGTATCTCCAACAGGAGTGTATTAATGATATGTGGAAGTAGGTTTCAGAGAAGGAGCCCACTTCTCTGTCTCTTTCCAGAGACAGTAAGATGACTGGCACTCTGTTTATTGAATGAGAGTGAGATGGTGTAATGGTCCTTCTGTGGTGAAGCAGCTAAATGATTAAAGTTATGGGTTTGCAATGCTGCTTAAAATTGAACACCCTATTAAGATCACAGGCAAAGTTTATACCTCTCTGCTACTATTTCAGGTTCTGGCTGTAGAAACCAAAAATATTAGAGGCAGTTTTATTTAAAGGACCATGATGGTCATTGTCTGGTGGGATAATGTGCTCTACGGCAGCTGATTTCTAAAGTGCATTATGTGTCCTTACTTGTGCAGCTGGATGTGCCTGGCATTGTGCTAATAGTTTAATGAAGGGCTGAACAAGTGGCGAAAACTAGGTTTGGTTTTGAGACATAGTTCACAAGGGGGAAAAATGTATAAGCTGAAACTCATGCCAGCTCCAGCTGACGCAAGGTAGTTCTGAACTGAATGTCTGACCTTTTAACATCCTGGTTTAGGAGTATATTAAATTCCTATGCAATTCCACCCTGCTTCACATTCAAAAAAGTATGAGATTTTGTTTCTCTCTAGGAATCTAAGTAGAGCAGTATTGCTTCTTCTTTTTGGTCAGTTTTACCAGAACAGAAATAGCCAGCTTTTGCCATTGAAAATAAACATACAAGTTCTCTGATGCAACTAATTTACAATAATATATAAACATTTATTTGAATTAGACTGCAATTCCACCCTGCTTCACATTCAAAAAAGTATGAGATTTTGTTTCTCTCTAGGAATCTAAGTAGAGCAGTATTGCTTCTTCTTTTTGGTCAGTTTTACCAGAACAGAAATAGCCAGCTTTTGCCATTGAAAATAAACATACAAGTTCTCTGATGCAACTAATTTACAATAATATATAAACATTTATTTGAATTAGACTAGACCAGTGGTCCCCAACCTTTTGAGGTTGTCGGGCGCCAGGGGGCGTGGCCGTTCGCCCGCTGGGCGCCAGGGGGCGGGGACACTTGCGCCCCGGGGGCGGCCCCCCCCATAGCCGCATGCCCGGGGGCGGCCCCCTCCATAGCTGCATGCC